GTGTGGCACCACCAACATTTAATGAACTAGCATGAGCGCTGTATTTCTGCTAGCGTAAACGATAGAGGCTAGGCTGGCTTTTCACTTGGTATTAAGGTTGCCGTCTCATGTTGAAAGAGTAGAGTGTGGGCTTGTAGAGAGCCCTGTCAGAATGCGCAGTTTCTGTGGATTGAAGTTTGTGATGCTGAGTTGTTGACCCAGCTTTCAGGAGCGGCATGTAGTTTCCCTTGGCATTGCGGTGCTTCTCGATATGAAGATTGCTTTCCAGAACCTTGCAGGAAAGCGAAGGGCAACAGTGTGAATCAATAGCACCCAGCAGATGCAGCCCTCAATCTGATCTAGTATGCATCCCGAGGGATAGGGCTTGCTTCGTGGGTTTTCCGGAAGTTCAACTCCTTTGTTCTTAACGGAAAAGGCTTGAACTTGAGGATCCAGGCTGGCCAACTACGTAGACATCGCCCCACAAGAGTCTGAAACGCAGTCAAAACATGTGACATCTCTTCACCTCCCAACCCTCAGTAAAATCCACACGCTGACTTGATAGCCATTGGCGTTGTCTTCGGGTGCTTGCTACCAGGTGTTCATCCAGGCTCCGCTTCCTTATGCAGGCCGGGTTGAGGGTGCTGGTGACGTCTTCGAAGACAGTATGCGTGCATTGAACTCAGCATCAATGTAGGCAGCTTGAACAACCACACCGTAGCTGCTGCTCTTTCTCTGAAGCGTTGCTGGTGATTATACCACTGCACCTCTCGGCATCATCATAATCATTGTCATCATCATCATTATCGGCAGCAACGTAATCTACTTCTTGGCTTTCCTCCCCTACGACACCTGCTGTGGCTAAAAGTGCTACTTGCTGTCGCGACTGTCTTGCTGTGTGATCCAGCTTAGCATCTTAGCCAATGGTCGTCTTTATCTCTGCCAGATCTACGCCTCCCAGGGAACTCGGAAGGCTCGCCAGACATGCTGACGGGCTTCGCTATGCTTCAGGTTCCTTTACAGGTGGCTTGCTACAGGGACCGAATACCCGACCTACCTAGCACTCTTCGGTAACTATCTCATTGTTGAAGGCCCCTTGGTTGCCGATGGGGTGCTTTTTCCAAACTTGTTGTTGCTGTTATTGGGTTTCCTGTCAGCCCAATGACGCTCCTGCTTGTCATGAGGCTTTGTGCTTGATGACGATGTTTGTTTGCATGTTGTTTCCTTGCAGCCTCATCTGCTTGCCAAGCCAGTCTACAATGCAGAAATGCAATGGGGTACATTTTTGAGAGACTCACACTTCACGTTGAGGCTTGCGATTTTGAGCAGCGCAATAACTCTGGACTCTAAAAAGGTTGCAAAGGCTGATGGATTCCGGAAGATGCCTAAGTCTCCCAGTATGAGATCCTCATCCCTTCGAGCCCGGATCCGATTGTGTTGCGCCCTGTGTTTGCCTTGCCCGTTGCTATGTCTTCCTGACAAACCATCCAGGAGTCATGTTTTCATCGCACTCTCCACATCTTCGTCTGCACAAACTGCCAGCCGAACGAGGCGTGCTCTGATGTTGCTGTGGTATCAGTCATGCCTTAGAGCGATCTATGAATGTATAGGCATGCCTCCGCATGCTTCAGCATCAGGGATATCTGAGAGTTGTGCGATAAGTCAGGATCCCGATATCTTGGCCGGAAGTGTGCATGTTGCCTCTTGCATCTTGGGAGCAGGCAAGAGTGTTTCGGGCCCAGCTTCCCCGAGATTGCCAAGTACTCAGAGCTCAGAAGCAGAACAGGAAAGAACAAGAACCACGGGATATGGGTAGGGGGGTGGAGGAGGGGTTGTCTTGACATTGGCCTTGGCAGTAGTTCCAGCAGCACGTGCAAGGGGCCCAAGCTTTGGGAGCTTCACACATAGACTGCCAGGACCTAGGCTCCTCTTTGAGTTTTGCATGTCCTGCGCAGTTCTTCAGTTCTCTGACCAACCTGCCACGGACACCAGCTCTGCTTTTGCAGCAAGTTGAGCAAGTTTTTCCAACCAAAAGGGAACAAGGCAAGGGACCGCGCCCGGACTGTTCATGCGTTGTTGCTTCTAAGATGCCTGCCTGCTGAAATCTGACCCGCCTTACGGTGACATGCCTCATATACCTGCAGACCGGTCATGTTCAAAACTTCCACGGGGATGAATAAAGAGGTTCGCACGGATTCCATTATTCCAGGTCGTTCTAGGGTTGAGTGTTGATTGATATCCGGAACTTGCACTGTCTCAGATGTGAGTCGTGTTTGGCTGGAAAGCCCGTGTTCCATCCTGCATGGGTTTTTCAATCAAGGGCACAAAAAGGCGACCTGATATCTGCATCTTCACACAAACAAGGCCTTGTTTCAAGATGATCTGCTCGGCCTGCGAGGTCCATACTACAGCTACGATGAGCCGGACAGGGAAGTCAGGTTCCGAGTGAAATCAGGGGTTTCCAATTGCAAGCTTCAGCCTGTGAGGCCTTGTGCAGACCAGGGTGTTACTTTGAGTGAAAATCATTTTTCTGGTGGTCTTACCCGCTTCACCTAGGTGCTTCCCATAGAGCAAGATGCCAATGTGACAGGGTAAGATAACGGCAATTCAAATTCCGTGCTACCAACAACAGAGCTGCATCGTGAAGTGCAGACGAGCCGTAAGATTTAACAGCTTCCCAAAGCCCCATTCTGCTCCCATTAGTTGCTCATGACTTGCGTCCAGCAGTATCCTTTATATTGTCTGCTTGAAGTGCAACCTTCCTGATAGTGTAAGACAGGTATCCAGGTAGAGTCCTGGCCGGTGGCGTTGTCCCTACATGGCAAACTAGGAATTCGTGATATGTTGCTTGTTGCATGTTACAGCAGCATATTGGGTCGAGGACTGGTTTATCCAGAACTTTCCCTGAACGTCTCTCAGAGTCTCCAGTTTGCTGCCGCACCTGCACCCTATGGCCTTCGTCCTTCAGCCATATTATTTGCTTGGGTCTGGACCGTGCGCCACTTCCAACTAGCACGAAACAGCAGGCTACAATGAGCCCCACAACTGCTTGCAAACCTTTGTTACCCCCAAAATAAACCATACTTCCGAGACTTCGCTTTATCTTTCTTTCAATTTTGGAACATCTGGAACCTTAAGCTACTTTTCAAGTTCATGTTAGTTGTTGGTAGGATAGCCTCATGGACCCCTCAGCCGCGAAGCCACACCTCAAACCACACAGAAAGTCTGGACTCGTAACTTGAAACACAGTAGCTTCTCGAACTCTACACAACCCATCCTGGGAAGCCTGAAGCTCCTAGAAACACCCCAAACCCCCCTAGCCCGTGCAAGCCAAGGGAGTAAGCCTGGGTGATATGCCGGATAAAGAGCTGCAGGACCATGGCTCTCAGGGTTTCTACTCACAGGTTCATTGGGAGTCGCAAGTGGACTTATACTTAGGAGAAGTAGTCAGGATCTCGTCTGTATTTGCCAAAGTGCCCCGAGGCACGGAATGAAGGAGTAATCCTTTCAATGAGGTAGGAACCGCACTGAGGTAGGCGGAGTATGGCACGTAAGCGTGTGTTTGGTTCCCCCAAGTTTCGTGGTTCAAGTGGGGGTAGGAGGTATGCGAGTGCAGTGACTGCAACCGGATGTGGCTGTGAACCAAAAGCATTGGGTTTGTGAAGGCGTCCATTGCGCCACATAGGCTTGTAACAAGATTGCCTGGCTTGCGACAAACCGCGGGGCTTACGTTTACCAAGCATTGAGGAGAATGGTAAGTAAACAACAGGCAGCAACAAAGGGGTATGTAACAGGGGTTGCGTGTTGGGCCGCGAAAAAATCGGGACTTCAATCCACAGCCATGTCCTCAGCAGCGGACCATGTGATGCGGAGGTCTTTGGGGTTGCTGTTGGGGTGGACTGGAGTCAGTGCTGAGCTTCGACTCCGGAAGTGCTGTTGAAGAGCGTTGAATGTTGGCTTTGCTGATAGGGATGGTTTGCCTCACTTTTGTGGCCAACATGCCGAGGCCATCAGAGCACATAGGCGACTAACACTTAAAACGTTCTCAACAGAAGAAAACTGAGGGCCAACTTGATTGACTCATTGCACTCCAACACTCCTTTGCAGAAGCTGTCTTACCACACCACCGTTGAGGTTCATTCTCAATCAAAGATGAAGGGGGCAGAGGGGGTGAATGCCACAATCCCTAGATACCAGAAGAAATTCTGTAGTACAGAGCGCTGGTTGAAGGCCCTTTGTTGTCCTCACTGTGGCCTGGTCAACAGCCAGCCCCTCAGAAGTTGAGAAGGCTTCGTGGTCGGAGGTTGATGAGGCTTGCAGAGGAGTGCTATCTGGAATGAGATTCACAGGGGCCACAGGTAACTTCATCAAGCTAGTCTCCCGAAGATTCTCTTATAATCCTCATATTTACCTATTGGGTCGTTCGGGCCCCTAACTTTGAGAGAGAAATGCGGTGGCAGAAGCCTCAACTCTTCAGCACCCTTTGCCCTAAGCCTTTCGCAGTATTTGCCTCTATTGCCTCTGCATCAACACCTCAACCAATGCTTTCTGGACGCAGGGTTTTGACATTGAAGTGTGCCCAGTTCGAGCCATGCTCAGTTGGAACCTACAAACCTCCGAAATGCGTATCTGGTTTACTTTGCATCGCGAGTATTTCAGTGATGCTTCGCACAAGCGGGCTGCCATGCTCAGATTTGTGAGAGCCTTTTTGAGGGGATGGGAGGTGCGCTTCCAGGACCTTCTGGGATACGCGTGGTTGCGCAACTGAAGATGCTTTGCTTGAATTGTGTGTGTGTGTGCTGCGATTTTGGCTAGCGTTGTCAATACGGGCAGTCACAAAGGTCAGCCGCGTTCTGCCAGAGTATATAATTTGCATGAACCTACGCATGACAAGAACATGTAAGGGCTCTTTGGTTCGTCGTTGCTTTTTGTGTAGCTCAGTCCCTAGTTTGCCACTGATGCGACAGCTGCTTGACAGCTGCTGCGGTCCTTCTTGGCAGGCTGGCCGATAGCAATCGGGCATGGCCACTGAAGCCGTAGACACGCCAACCGTGGAGCCCGATTCGCTCGTAGAGGTCTTGAGCAAAGGGCTGGTGCGGTACTACCTTTTGGATTGTGGCGGCACCTCGCACGACATGTGCATCCAGCGACATCCAAATGGCTTGCTGGTTCTGGGTCTCGCCCCGTCCCACAGCTTGTTGCAGCCATGTGCCTCTCGGGTGCGGGAGCTTCAGTTTCGCGAGGAGATCAGCGAGCAGGAAGCTTTTGGCAAGCGGGGGAGGGGTGGAGCTAACCTGCTTCCAAAGACCGTTCTTGCTGACATCTCCCTAGAGGATGGGTCACAGATAGAAGTCCAGGCCAGCATCGAGGCTCGCTTAATCGAATTGAACACAAACTTGCAGGATCAGCCAGGGCTCCTCCAGTCTTGCCCAGAGGATGAGGGTTTTGTGGCTATTCTTCAACCGAAGCGACTCCAGGACGTTCCCCGAATTCTGGGGAGGTTGCTGGATGCCCCGAGCTATTCCCAAAAGCGCCCTGGGCACCTGGACACAGGCCGGCACGGCCGGCACTGTTTGTTGGGAACTTCCGGTCCGGCCTGGGCCGCAGTGGACGAAGAGCCGCCAAGCAAAAAGGCTCCAAGCGTGTGCGTTTGCATGCATGGTAGCTTCTTATCCAAGAGGTAAACTCCTAACAGGAGGTTCATCTTTTTTGTGTTAGTCTGTCTTGGCGCCAACGAAACGATCAGCTCCGGCCCACGAGAAGATCTTTTGTTGTCCCATGGCCCTAACACCCCAAGGTTGAAGCACAGCTAGCAGGACCGCAAAAGCCGAATTGAGATTTTTTCTTTTGCTGGGCTGGATGCTGCAGATTTCTCTGCTCAGGAATGTAAATGTTATCACAATCTCCTCAATCATAAGCTTGCATGGAGAACTGAGAGTCTGATGATTGGAACTTCGGCTACTTCGTAGGGAGACATTTGGAGCACCATGAAATCCACCCAGCAAGCAGTACTGAAACTCATCAATCGTGCCAGACCGTAATAGAGCCGGTTTGAAGGGAAGGCTGGATCCGGTAGTAGACCCTAGTGGCTTCTGAGAGACTCTGCGAACCACCAAACCGACTTCTTTCGGACCTTCAATAGTTGCGAGACATCCCTCTACCACCTTGGGGCCCATTTTGCCTGGCATGGCAGCAATGCTAGAATCACAGCCATACACATACGTAGCTCTGCAAATTTGCCGCCTTTCTGCTGCGCTTATGAGGAGTTTCAGAAGACAACATCATTTTCGCTCACGTCACGACACCCAGTCACCCAGTAGCAGTCTTCACAGAGGGTCAATCGAGGTTCGGCGCCAGAGCTTTGTAGTGACTGTGCTCGGCGAGCAAGGCCAGCCGGAAGGGCTTTGCTTGGCGCTTCTCAAGGAACTTGGATGGTTTGCCTCATACTAAGGGATCATGATCATCGACAAGTTCTCTTGCTTAGGGTGTGCGATAAGCAGCGTTTTGGCGCAGGTCCTGAATTTCTGAGGTTCACGATCTAATCGAAGCTGAAAAGTTGCCGCACGGAATGTCCATTGTAATGATGCAGCGAGACACATGTGACTGCTTCAAATATGCCCGCTGCCCTAAGCTCCCTGTCATGTCCATTTTGGGGGTGCAAAGCACATGCCTTCTCTCAGAGGATACACTTTCGGAGGGGGACACTCTCTAGTTCGAGGCTGACGTGGAATGTGCCTAAGGTCCACTCTGATTATCGAACCTATGCTCGTTTTCTGCAGTCTTTGCTAAGCGGTTGGTGGTGATATGTCAGGAATCATTGAAACTGGGGATCAACCAATTCCGCCCTGCGCAGCATACTAAGTAAGAATCTGAACGCTCTGCATATAAGCCCCATGGTACGTAATTTGTCAGATGGTTTTCGAGGCATACTTAATCCTTTAATCCTACCCGATTATCCAGTTTCAGCTGCGAATAGGGTGACCAGGAGGAGTCTTGCTATGGTCGCGCTTGGCTTGGCTGAGTTGGGTTAGTTTTGCTTCATGTTCCGTGTTGTAAGCATGGCGCAGGTTTGACTCCATTCATACGTTATGAGGCAAGTATGAATCTACTGATTGAAGGTCGATTGTAGGCAATTGTGTGGGATGCTTGCAAGCTAAACGCTATCCAAGGAGCAGCTCAGGATTCAGTTGGAAGATCTTTGTTCTACAGAGTCTGTGAACGTTGCATGTGCCACGAAAGTTTGCCCTATCTGCTTTTGCCGAAAAAGTTTGGTCAAGATGATGCTACGGAGTCATTTCATCATGCCTGCTGCCTCCGTCCACTTTAGCCTGAAAAGACCATCGCGTGCAGCCAGGAATCGGGATCCGCCAGTGCCGTTTGCCGAGTTTGAGGTGCGCAGTCTGCCGGTTGGCGTGTTCGATGCCATGTATTGAAGATCCATAAAGCGCGTTTATGAGCAGCTTTGCGCAGCCAAATTTGCAGCACCATCAATGCTTAGCAACGCTGCCTCCCACCGTTGCCGCCAACACTACCACAACTACCGCCACCACTGCCACTCCTGCTCCTGTTTCTGTTGCTATTACTGCTACTCGGCTACCTGCTGCTTCTACTACTTCTCATACTTCTACTTGTTCACAAACAGCATTCCTTCAGCGATGACTTCAAGGGCTGCTGCACTTGCTGCTGCATCAACCTCGACTCGAAAGAGATTGCGTGAGCAAAAGCAATGCAGAAGTTAAGACAACACAACATGTCACTGCTACTCCTCTTGCACGGCCGCTTCTGCTGCCGCTTGCCATTGCCAAGAAGAAAACGACCAGGAATAATGGAAGGCAATGAATCAGCATCATTCTAGAGGTGCTTTTGCTATTCGTTTAGCTTCTGTTGTTTTGACGACTAGCAGGCCTTTCATGCTTGAGTACCGGGTGAGCCGCCCGAACAACACCTCTAGGGACGGCGAATGTCTGAAATCGTATGATGGCCCTTTTGAATTCAGATTTCTTTCAGGGTTCGGAATGCATTGTCGGCAACAAGTTTGGGATCCCACTTACGAAATCATGACATGAGACGGTTTTGTTTTTGGCCCAGTCTTGGTGCAGACTGTCCTGTGCAGTCCCATTAGGCAGAGGGTTAACTACAGGGTTGTCCAGGCCAGGATGCGAGTGGCATCTGACTGTGGCACACACCCAACTAAGCGAGGGCAAATTGTTGACGGGCGGCAGGGTGAACCCTGGCATGTTGTGGGGGTGTGGAGTCGGCAGTGCACCGTTCTGAGTCCGGTATGAACTGGACAGCAAGCCAAAAAATAATCAATTGTGAAGGTCTTGAAACCTACCTGCGCACGAACAGGTTAAAGGCTTCAACCACACCTGTTAGCTCTTGCAGGAAGAATTGACAGGTTGGGTCGGGCAGTCCAAGACACATCCTCGTTGCTGTGTCACCGTGCTGCAGAGTTTCGTGGGTGCCACCTGGAATCAGCAAATAACAACTGTCGGTGCTGTTAGAATCTAAGCTGAAGAAGCTAGCTTAGACGGTATCAGTCACCAATGGGGATGACAGATATGTGTAATGCTTGCCCGCAGCTTCTGCTTCACAGGTGCTTCCATACATGTCTCAGCCGAAGATGTTGCCAGAGTTTAAGAAAATTATGGCCACTGAGTCAGACATCTCAGCAACCTAAATACTATAGGCAGCTTGTTGTTGCAGTTGATACCAGGTCCAACAAGCCCAAACCCTTGGCCTGCATATGCCCAGCAGCGGACCCCCCCCTACAGCCGTCACTTCAAGCAATGTGCGCCTATAGCCAAGCCTTGACGAACCCATAGAAATCCTGTAAACTCTGACATGATCCCTGCGAAGTCCTCGCACGTTATAAGTGCCTTAGATGATGCCGTGCATGTGAGAGCCAAGAATGCCCTTTCGCATCTGGAAGTACATCAGATGCCAGTGCAGACCCCAGGGTCTTCTAGTTCACTGTACTCATCAGGGAGAGCCGGTGCACTCGTTGCCCTTATTCGTGCGGTGACGGCAGGCTAATTTTGGTGTTGTTTGAAAAGATGTTGTGTGCTTGTTGCGGTTTATTCGTTGAAGCCCTGCCATTGACACGCGTCTTCAAGCCCAGCTCTAGAGGTTTTGGCTTGAGGCTGTGGGCAGCAAGGATTACGGCGCAGACAGAGTTTAACTACATTTTATCGATTGCTTCGAGGGGCGCTAGATTGATCACAGATTTTAACTGAGGCAAATGAATGCCAAGGGTTATCCACCTGGCGCGAGGGAACGGCAGCACCTTTAAATCCTGCAAAGCTCTTGCTACGTGCCATTCTGGAATTCCCAGGTGATCATAGAACTTCTACTCGTGAACTCTACGCTCCCAAAAAGATTCAGGGCAGATCTCTAATATGGACTTTCAACCTCATTTATACTTGCTATGCTTTGTGAGTGCATTATGGACTTCTCTGAGCCCGCAGGAGGGTAAAGTACCATGCAGATCTAGTTGGAACTCAGGTTTCAGAGGAGGAGCTGTGGAGAAAGGCCACCAGCTGCATAAACCTCGTGCTTCGCAAGGGTTCATCAGAATAGCGTTCCTAGTGGGTACATGCCGTGCCTGGCGTTATTCCCATTTCTTTGTTCTCGGGTGTATGTAACTGAGGACGATTTCAGTGCGACCTTGCAACGGGCGGCGAAGCGCTGCGTGCTGCTGTATTGCTGCTAGACTAGGACGTGCGGATGATGAAAGCCCTTTATAGTCATGCTAGGAACTAGCGCACCAGGCCTGGGTTGGCTCGCCCTACAAAGGCAAAGTCGCCAAGCCCTCAGCATGGAGTGGATAAGACGGCAGGAAGGATGGTTTTGATTTCACTTGCAGGAGCGGGAAGGGATGCATCATCATTCTCGCTGTTCAGTCGTCTCCCAACAAAAAGGTGCTGCCGGGCAAAGGTTCCAGACCATGTCATCCCGAAGCTTGAAGCCTAGTTCCGACACCCCAATCCTTAGACTCTATACTCCTCAAGCTTTAAGGCCCTGGTCCAGCCGCTCCATGAGAACAGAATGCCACTGAACATTCCTGATCTACATGCATTGTTTACGTTTCATGGCCTTGTTTCGCTTCACAAAGAAGCGTGTGCAAGATGCTCGCTTCGAAGACTTGCTTGACCCTTTGATGAATGCTCAAGTGACCTTCAGCACCAGCGTCCCATCCTGAATCCTGTTTGTGTTATCGTGGTTACGGGGGACGTCTCCTTGCTAAGCTCTTAGACTTTAAACCGCTGTTTGGCGTGACCTTCCACAGACGCTGCATGTCAGAGTCTGGGTGCGGGTTAGAGGTCAAGTGGTAGTGAGGAAGCTAGGGTGAATGCCAGCCGACCAGCCCGATTTGAAAGTTCCATGGCGCGGCATGACATTGACAGCATGGCCACGAAATTGAGTTGATGATCAGCTAGCCCCATTAGATTGCAGCATTCTTCACTTACGTATGCATCCGTTTAGCCTCGCCGCTCCCAGCAGTTCCTGTTATGCAGCACCGGTTTCTGTTACACGGTTGCCGTTACACCTCGGGCCGCTGCCCGGTACACCCTACACCCTTTGCCTGGTTGCACAGGAGAGATGTGCATGCGTTACATGCTTGAATTCATGCGTTGCATGTCTATCATAACTTCTGGCATTTCCACCACTCTAAACATATTGACGACACGGGCTTTTGATCCACAGCACGAGATCTATACCTATATAAAGGTGTAGATATCTTTAAACTGTTTTCTGTATAATAGTCGTTCTATTCATCGTTTGCTATGGCATTTCCATGTCGACATTACAACCATCATCCTTCTTGCTGCAAAGGGCAAATAAAGAGAATACAAGATATCATGCCGACCTACTGCACACACGTGGCAAGGTGTTGCGACGTGACATCCACGGTGCCTGCGTCATTGTTGAGAGCACAGTTTTTGTTCAGGTGCTTAGACTACGTAGTCTTTATGTGGTCAGCGCGGCATGTTGTCATGGCTATACGGCCAGTTCATGCCGTCTCTGCTCCAAGTCATGGTTGTTGGCAAGGTTTGCAAGAATAGTCCAGGTGTCGAGCATCTCGCGGTGCTGTGTGAAACCGTCAAAGCCAGGCCCGCTCTAACAAAAGAGTCAGTGTGCTAGCATCCAAGCATTGGAAGGGCACCGTTTTTCGGATGCCCCTATAATATGTTCCCACTTCATGGGCAACTGCCCTGTGACGACGCTCACAGACCTGCAGAACAGTGCATCGGCATATAGAAGGCTCCATATGCAGGTCTAGGCTTTGGGATCTCCTCTCAGTAAGGTACTCATGTCATTCTGCAGCTTAGTAGACTCTCTGGCGTTGATCGGAGTGTTGAGGGCCTGTTTCGCGAGATGTCAGGGCAATCGTGGTGTAATGGATGGTTGCATGCGCAATTCTTTTTCATACCAGCAGCAGAGTGAAGGTGGCGTAGAAGAGGGGCTGATATTACATCCTGCCCGCAGGTTTGCGGTTGCTTCTGGGCACTTCTGCAGCACCCAGGTGACTGTGAAATTTTCGCGAAATGATTGTGGCCTGGCCTCTGGATTCCCCAGCAAGTTTACGCACGTCTCGGTCCCTGGCACTCAGGATTCAAGCCAAGCCTTATGCTCCAAATTTTGTTTGATTGTCGTGTCCGATGGGTCCGCAGGTTTGGGCGCGAGGCAGAGATACTCGACGACGGAAGATCAATTTTTGTTTCGCTGGACGATGAGATAGCGCACAGGACTCAGGGTATATGCTGACCAACAGGAAGAGCAGAATAGAAACAAGGAGGGTATGACAGATGAAAAGACACATGATATCTGGAGTGGGCAGAAACCGCCTGAGGAGTCAGTACTGCAGACTATGCTACCGTTTGTGTTGTGGCAGCGCAGACTGAATCATAGCCACAGGCTTGACATGCAAAGACGGGCCAATAGGTGACTATGAACATGTGGGAGAGTTCTGAAGGAGGCGTAGCTAAGTTTCCAGGCCTCTTACGAATCATCCAATACGACTCCTAAACGCGTACCTAGGACGTCATGCATGGTACATTTGTGCTTGCGTTAGCTCCTCCTCCTCCTCCTCCTCCAAAAGCAGTTGCAAGCAGTTGCATGAACAACGCCGACGACAACGAGGCAACGACGAGAAGAAGTACAAATGACACTGAAAACAGCCGTTTAGGCAAATCGCTTCTTCCCCTGATTTGGAGCAACAACCTGATGTTGGATCTTGGCGAACCGTTGTTATGCGTGTCTACAAATCAGGTGGGCAAATAAAAGGATGATTAAAGTAGTACAAGGAGAAGATGAAGTAGTGGAAACAGTAATAGCAGAAGTCCTGCTCGTCGTGACAGTAACAGACGTCTGTTGCGCAGCAGTACAATTGTACTGGCATTAGCAGTGGTAGTGGTAGGTGTGGGGCCGTGATAGTCGGCTGTTGTATAGTCGTCGCGGCACGGATAGTACGGTAGCAGTGTGAAGAAGAGTCACTGCCAAAAGTACTAAGGTTTGGAGTTGTCGAGCGGCCTAACATGGCGCCGCTGGCTGTCAATGCACGGAGCTGAGTCTTGGGGCGTACGGGACTGCGGCCCTGGGTTCCGGCTCTGGGGCTCTCATGGTGAAGACCGAATCCATGTTGAGATGTCGCCATCCCTCCTGTACATCGATAGGTTGATGATGTTACAGGCTTGTCGGGTAGACCATGCCGGGAATGAATGTGCAATGTGCTGTTTAGGTCTATCGCCTCACCAATGGGAAGAGGCCCTCCTGCATTCATGAACGGAGAAGGCTGGCCTTGAGGAGGACCTCAGTAACGTTGCTTGCCCTGAGCAGGAAAGCGGAATCGCTGAAACAGCGGATCCCTGAGGAAACTTGGCAGCACAGCTTCATGCGCACTTTAGCTGTTGTCCCGAGTTTAGGATTTCGGAAATGAGCATTCGGATCATGACTCGTATGAACCTGCCTCTTGTTCAAGGTTAATGATACTGTACTTTTCATTTTGCATTTGAGGATGTAAGGTCACACGCAACTTGCAGCAGTTCAGGGCTTAGAGCATCGGAGTTCACTAGGTACAGCACGATTAAGATGCAAGTCTCAAAGGCGGGGCTGTTCAATTTACAAATTACAAAGGTCCCGAAGTCAGAGGCAACTCACCCCTTCCACTGTACTATAGTAGATATCTTGGATGAAGACCTGTTGCAGAAATGACCCAAGTAATGGGATCGATGATTTGTTGCCAGGAGGCCTGTGCCAGACTAGGCATGCCGGAGTACCTGCATGCTCACACTGTAGAGCTCCAAATGCTTGAGCGCTCAATCCTTGCTTGGATCCTCTTTCCCGACGACCCCCACTGTGAGATACTGACACAGGTTCTTGTCCGGAGGAGCTTCAGATACTAAACCTCCTTGGATTTCGCCTCCGAGAATCTGTTTCTTTCGCCCCGGGCATTAGAGATTAGCAGCTTCCATCATGGGCTGATTGGATGATGTCTCATCTCAACTAAACAATATCCAGCCCCTTCGAAGGACCTAATTCTGGGGCGCTATACGCAACCTCAGATTATTTTTTCTACAAGCCCCAGACTTGGAAAGTCCAAGCAGAAACGGTGGCATCAGCACAGGCCAAAGCCGCCAAAGCCCGAGAGGCACAGTCCAAGAAGCAGAAGGCCACGGAGGTGCGCAATCGCTGCAATGCTTGGCATTATCTACATTAGTCATTGCTATTGCGCATTAAAGCTCGAGAATGCTATCATGTGGTAATTAGCATTGTTCCTAGAAATGATAACAATGTATTTCTGATGATCTGTTTGTGTTTCCATAGCAATATAGCATGATAGTAGGTTTTTTGACAGTTGCTTACAGGGCTCTGCATAGAGAATGGGAAAAATGCAAGGTGAGAGCTCAGGGTGGTTGAGAATGAAGCAGCCACTTCCACTCTTAAGTCTCATGAGGCCCATTGTGCTTCCGGGAGCCTCTACGAATCAGTTCAATTTTTGCCATTTAATGTATGGGCATTACTCTCCTTAGAAGCTTTTAGATAGCTTAGTCTGTATAGGCTGTATAGGGCTTTGACTTCTGTACAGCAGCAAAGAAGTCGCCTTATACAAACAAAGCTATCGGACATTTTCTAGATGAGTGGGGGGACCACTACATGACATGGGAAATGTTTAGCAAAGGGCCCCAGAACAGAATTGCCACCCAACACCCTACCACCTCAAACATCTATCACCCGCTACCCATCAACTTAAAGCCGCTCCAAACGCCAATCCTTCCGGTTTTGTCAAGAGGCGAAGCCGCCTCCCGCAGCGCCAGCGAAGCGGCAGGCAGCCTGCTGTTCAGACCTCTACCGCGGAAGTTACACCGTGGTTAGTACGGGAAGTTCACAGCAAGCAGCTATCATGACCATGTTGCTGGCAGAAGTCTGAAAAGCGGGTAGTCCAAACTGTGCGATGTGCTTGCGAGCCACCATCCTGCGAGGCGGGATATAAACACAGACTCTATTAGACACAAAGGTGATCATAGTCTCAGTCTTGTTAGAACAATCGAGGCTTCTTTTTTTCATGGACGGTTGGTCGGCTCTTCTATTCAACGCGATTCATGCGAGATGTGGCAGGGGAGTTCGGGATGGATGTTGTTTTAGGAAAAATCTTGGAAAAGGTTTCGTGTTGTGTTTAGTTTACAGTACAGGCTAGAGATCATTGGTAGGAATGATGGTACAATCCTGCACAGGCGTGTGCAACCATGACTCCAAGGCTTGTAATATGTACGAAGTTTTGAATGCTGCGAAGGCAAGCTACCAGCCTCCGCCCGCGAGCAACGGCAAGGCTTGGATTTTGAGCATAGGGTCAGGTCAGGCGTTTGACTGTGGAGCTTCAAGTTCATTAGGATTCACAGTTTTCAACTAAACCTTCGGGGTGCAAGGGACCAGGTCTCTGGCTCAGGGCACACGATTTGCTTCCTCGATCTTACGCAGGTGGCCGTCATGCTGCGTTAGGAAGATTACCTTTGGTTCCTTTGATGTCCCGGTCCAACAAGCTCAAGTCTGGCAGTAGGCAACTTGAAACCTCCTTTTGTTTACTTCGGCTAATGCGCTGTCTCTTGGACCGGTATGCTTCTTCTTGTCTTGCTTGTTCTTGTCTTTCTCATTCTTCTTCTCTTCTCACAACGCCTCTTCTTGCTCTTGCTTCTTCTACTTCTACTACTACTCCTGCTGCTTTTCACAGATCATAAACATGGCCACCCTTGACAGAAACTTGGGGAGAAGTTAATAAAGCCTGTGCAACCGGCCATTGTGATTCCCGACCAGACGTTGCCCCGTGATTTGCAGCAGAGGTGCCCTTGCGAATGCTCGGCTTGATCCAGCCGCGAGCTCAGACTAAGCTGCGCCGCAGACCGTCATGTGACTCTATACAGATGCCAGCGTAGCATTAAAACAGGAGGATATCAATTGCCGAGCCCGCGGGATCCGGAATTCTTTTTACTTCGGCTTCTGTTTCTTCTGATTTGGCTTCTCATTGCTCTACTGCCAGAGCTTCTACGTTCTGAAGGGAGCCAGGGTGCTGGTCATTTTTGCCAGATGTTGCTGGTTGTTAAGGGATGCGAATACATTCAACTCCAGTTGGTGATTTTCGATATTAGCATTCACATGTGCAGATCCCCGCACGGACCCAAAACATTGAGCCAATCCACCAGAAGAGTGACTTCTTGTTGCTTGTGCACATGCTGTGTTGCACACAGTGTCAAATGAGCTAGGGGCGGGAAGACCTGGACCTCGGCTTGGGATGTGCAATAGCGTTTCTTCCAAAGCATTGTCGATGAACAGGAAGCAACGCCCATGTGCCTGTCTGCTCACATTTTCAGATCATGTGCAGTATTTTGGAAAGCTGATGGTCCCCACTGGCGCCCAATGGCCGACGAAGCTGTCAGCATTGTGATTCTGAGTGTTGCGTTCCATTAACCACCGCGCTTCCCTCAGGAAGCCCCACAAAAAGACCGGCCGCTACCAGGTCTTCTGCCAGGAGGGGGGTGTTTGGTGCTTTAGGGTTTAGGGTTTAGTGCTTCAACTGCAGACTCAGAGACTACTGGACCTGTGGCAATCGATCCTGGTGTTATCATAGCTTTTGTCTCCAAAAATTTTTTACACCTGTAAGAATTGCCTTTCCGCGAGAACATTCCTGGGCTGTAATATTGGGGGATGCCGTATCCGCCTGCACGCCCAATTTCAATCAGGTTAAGATACACAAAAGAAAGAAGTCTCGGTTTCGTGGCTACTGTTGGCGGGGGCTTGACAGGACATCTCGGATGTTTACGGGCAAGACGCAGAGATTGCAGCGGAAGAGGCAGAACTTGTTCCAAGCTGCGTTGGGGGCAGGTGCAAGCATCGACACGCGTGGTTCAGGGCACCTGCAAGCCCTAAAGCATGGGGGCGTTAGGAAGGGAATCATGCTTGATTCAGACACGCAGGGCTTTGCCTCAGGTTTAGCTTTTCAGCTGAAGTTTTCCAACAGCCACCTGTTTGCACTCAGCATCCCTGCAGGATCAGACAGGTCTGGATCCTGTCAACAGGTGTAGCGCAGCGAAGGATTTAGACCTTCAAGTAAAGGCCGTTCAGGTAGACTTGCAGAGATTTGTTTTGCACAATGCCGGTCACCAGTTCCGTGTGTTTCAAGGTGAGAAGTGCTCAGGAGAAACAAATCGGACTTTAAGTCCCAGACCCAAACCCTGTCATGCCCACGAGAATAGCGGCAACAGGTTCCTGATGGCCTGCAGCTGGGAGACCGCGTCTCCTTCACTGTGGAGGTCCTTCTCTCACTGATGTGGCCATCAAGCTTTACCCAACAAAACCTTCCGTTGTTGTGTCTTTAGTCCGATTCTTGCACACCGTGCGTCAAAGAGGTCTGAGCAGTCTGAGTGAGAAGGTTGTGAGTGCTGCAGCATCCTACCATCATGGTGGGCGGATATGCTCCAATATCTTCACAACAATGTCGTTTATGAGGTGAGTTGGACGCAGTGTACTTGAGATGCGTGCGCTCTTCGGGACTCTTAACGGGCGTTAAAATTTCTTTAGGCAGAAAGCCAATCCCATTCTTAAACTCCAGAATTGAAAGTGCAATCTTTAAATGTTTGCCCCACGCAGACTCGAGGTTTGCAGAATGGTTGGTATTCAGCCCTGATGCGTAAGCTCAGTTACCGAGCATCACCCTGAGGAGCCACAGCCCAACGCTGCCACAATTTGGGCACGGAACGTCAAGGTTGGAAGCTTAGATTGAGACTTGCTTCTGCAGAGGTTGCAGCGGTTCAGCGCCTGAAGTTTTGGGGATGTATGCAGGGCCCAAGATTCCCGGATCAGAGTTATCAGGGTAGCTGGCATTTGAGTAAGATCAGCTGAAGTTAGGTAAGAGGCCTGTCGTTAGAGGATGTCAGAGACATTGCGGCAATGGACTGGAATGCAATCCAAATAAGCCTAGGTCTTGAAGCACAATTGCAACCCCTCATCTCTCGACTCGAAACCTCATACCTGCCGCATGCCTGAAATGATAGACAGCGAGTGCAAGCAAGTCTGCAACACCACAGCAAGGTGCTGGCTGCACGAGGCACCAAGCGGCACAAGCCTGTCATGGCCGGTGATGGTGAGGCGTCTCACGTTGCTCCGCAGTTTGATGTACTATGGTGCTGGAATCGATTTTCCTTTTTGTGAGCCGTGATCCTGCGCAATTATCTCTATTGCTGGAGGCGTTCGACCTGCGTCACGTTTGGGGCTTGCGTGAAAGTTAAGGGAATCAAGCGTTGCACTGCCGTGGTCGCGTGCTTTGGCACGCAGCCTTTCCCAAAACAGCACAGGGAGCCATGAGCTAACAGTCTTCTTGCATATGCCCTTGGGGATGCTGGAGGAGTTGGATGGCGTGGACCAGGTGGAGTTGCAGGACTGCAGACCGGTAACCTCAACCTACCATGCCCCATATGAAGTACAATTTGTACCACCCTTTTCTTGCCCAGCAAGATCTTGAGCAGGAAAAGAGTACAGTCAGTTGGGCCCAGGAAGCTTGAGAGCCTGTGGCTGTTCAGATGCGACTGTAAGGGCAGAGCCGCCACTAGAGCGTGAAGGGGCAACCTGGTTCTGTGCATCTTCTGTTTCTGGTTTCCTTTCATCTTGCACAGGAGCGGGATGGCCCGAGCTTGTTCGTGGAGGAGGACTGGGGTACAGCCACATGAAGGGCTTCGTCCCTCCTAGTCTTGAAATGGTCGTATCACGTCCGGCTGCAGAACCGGCGTAGATGAGGGAGACGGCCCGTCTCAAAGAGCTCCCGCGGCTTCCCACATTATACCACATACAGGAAGCAAACTACTGGAGGTGGCACGACAGGGATAATGTCCACCCACTTCCACAGTGCAGAATGCCAGCAACGCCATAAGCACCTCTCGTGCCAAGCGTCCTTGGTACTGCTTGTTGAGGTACTGCTTGTTGAGGAGCAGCCTGCGGGTTCGGATGATGAGGAAGTACCCTTGGACTTCGAGGCGATCCATAAGTCCTTCCTCGCCTCCAATTACTGAAGAGAATGTGCCAATGGAGAGGGATCTTCTGGTTGCATGCTCCTGGCCTGCTCCGCGAACCTAGACCCTGACGCATGCCTGCTTCTGCAGCAGCAACAGCAGCAGCTGCAGTAGCAATAGTGGTGATGACGAAAATCACACAGCCTCGACATCTTGTTGATATGAGTCATCTCGACGCAATTAGTTTTGAAATTGTTTCTGGGCCACGATGCAGGCCGGGCTGTATGACGATGACCCCATCGCTGATTCCATCGAGTTCTTGCAGGCCTTCAAGCACGTTGCAGAAGCATGTCAGGTTGTACATAAGTAGATTAGGTCCCGGTGTTGTGGCTGGAGATTTCGCACAGGCAATTCTCCCGTTTAGTACGAAGCCTAAGTCCTAAAGATACTGAATATTGACGGAGAAAGGGCTTTGCAAGGTCTTGGGTTGACAGGGGTACTTGTGAAACTAGTTTGAGACCTCATGGTTTCTCAGTTCAAGGACTTCCACAAGGGTTTGCCATTTCAGGGAGTTCAACAGCAAGGCAGGGAACAGGTGAGGCGGGCATTGTCACCATTGGGGATTGCGGTGAGGAAGAATGTTGGGAAGCCTGGCATAAGACGAAGGCGGGTTTCAGGTTAGGGCTTGAGTTTGTCTGCCTACCCCTGACTCAGTGAAGCTTTATCTCCAGTCAGCATCCATGGGATGAGAAGAGCTATACAGTATCCACCAGTATCCACTTCACACTAAGAACCCTCCCCTCCCCCCCAGCCTCCCCATGGGCCCAAATTCAGGTTGGTTATCCGGGTCCATGAGCTGGAACTCTGGTAGTACCTGGTAGTACTAGCCTGTGTACTGTAGTGGTACGAGCCAGGAGCCGGCACTTCCTTGTTTTTTGCATTTGGCAGATTGGATAAACAGGGGGATGTAATTGCCCTCTGGGAGCTACAATTTGCAAAATACAGGGATGTATTAAGAATACTAACATGAGGTCAACAAGTTGATGCAAAAAAGTGCTGACTGAGGCGGAGCAGTGTCCTGAGGCACTGTGGGGTGCAAGGATGACCAAGGCATCACGGAGTTTTGGCTTGCCATTCTTAATACGTGGTACTTGAAGTTCAGGTTTGCAGGCTTCTGCTCTTTGTCCTCCTTGTATCGCCATCACGAAGATAAGAAAATGCCGAATAGGGACCCGCAAATCCCTCCTCCGATCCCTTTTCCCGAAAGGCCCTCAGGGCATCCAGATATTTTTGGCGTAAATGCCAACAGGTCAGCAAGCGCATTGATTACCATTGGCATTACGTTGATCCTTCGCTGTCGCTATTTGGCTACGCGCATCGTCTTGCATTACTAGCCTCCTCAAATGACTGCCTGAAGGAGTCTAGAAACAACATGCCTGAGCCGACCTTCTGTGAACAATTAGTTAGCGCAGCTGTCCTTGCGGCTGTGTCCTGCAGAGGGCTTTTCAGCTTATGCCTCATTATTCAGGCTCCTTCAACCACCACCTCTACTTCTCTATGGCAGGTTGAGGATCACCTAGTTCTATCGATAGCTTCCTATCGTCCATGTAGGTGCGTGGTTGTTTTGGTCCCTGTCCTCTCGATGACGACGACGATAGAGATGCTTCTACCTGACTTGTAAACTTGCGCGGGTTCATGCTAGTGCGTTTCCTCTCAAATGCGCTTATGAGCCGACCACTGCGTGGCATTAGCATTCGGGGCGCGACGAAACCTAAGCCCTACACCTTATATAGACTCTTGGCGTCTCGAAGCCTAGACGTCTTGAAGCCTTCACGGGGATCCTTCAAAGCTTCCAAGCCGCAACACCTGGCAGACGCCAATGCCGAAGAAGCCTTCAACGCCCGAGGAGTCAGGGTCCCAGCCCAGTGGGCTTCCGATTTGTCATGGTTTGCCGGCTTGGCTTGGGATCTAGTGAGTGTGCTAAGCTTAGGAACTCTATGCCCTGCCCACCCACAGCACGAAAGTTCATGTGCTTGGAAAAGAGCATGATAACTTTGTGTATATCGCGTTTTATTGGAGGGGAGTATCTGCAAGCTCTTGGGCCTCATCCACGTAATGCCTGACGGGGCCCAAATTCAAAGCGGCTTGCACGCAAGACGAGCTGGGGCTGGCTCTTTCCGGAGGCAGCCTAGAAAGTGTCAAGGATATGCAGATGATGGACGGGATGGTCTGCATTAGGTTTGACATGGCCTACACCTCTTCTGATTCTCTCTGAGAAGTGAAAGCCAAAGGTGGCAGCGGGCACAGAAACAGCTCTTCGGATCCCTGTCCGGAGCCCAAATCTGGGTGTGGGTATAGACGAGTGGGGCTGGGTGAGCATGGTCTTGTCCTTGGCAAGTGGCCCACAGAGAAGGATTTAGGGATTAGGCTCAAGATGGCGTTCAGTACTGTCATGTGATTATCTAAGGCTTGAGCTGATACGGGGTCTTAGTTTGGAGGCTTTGGTGCTTCACAATTTAAAGCCTATAGTCTATCTAGCCCAGCTGAGTTCACTTCTCTCTTGCCTTTGGTAGGAAAAAGTGTTTTCTTGTTTTACTTGTTTTGACTGTTAAATGTTGGTGTGGCGGGTGGTCCACTTGCGAAAGAGTAAGAGGTGCCCTTCCATAATATGTAATTCCAAATGGCTAGGAATTTCCAAGGAATTCTTTTCCATGTGGTACACATGCTTGGGCTTTGTACCACTTTTTGCCGGTAAGGGCCTCTCAAAGTCGCGGGGGTCTCTCAGAGGCCTCCTGAGGGCCTCCCAACCTTTCAAATCCTCTAGAACGTGCCTCTAGGGGCTTAAGCGCCTGGGATGCCTTTTGGCTTCGTGTCTGGGCTTGTGCGTCAGTGGTTTGCATTTACGGGTTTGGGAGGATGCTGCGCTCACTGTTGGGGTATTGCATACAGAGCACAACATACATGGATGCTTTCGCATGTGCGCGAAGTGATCAGTCGCTCAGCAGTCATGGACTGGGCTGAGGTACCTGCAGCGGTACTAATATAGCCCATCTTACATCTGCTTGCTTTTCGACCAATCAGCGAATTTTTCCACATTGCACAGTACATTGCACCAGTGAACTTTTACAGTCAAGGGACCATGGAAAAGAAAGGAATAACGGCAGTCAGGGACCTGAACACGCAGAGTCACCTAGCCATTCATGTGATGTACACTCACATGCGTGGCATGTCCCCAGAAAAACGGTGCTGTCATGTGAGAGGTATACCAAAGGAACTTACTTCTGATGAGATTCAGAATGCCCTAGGAAATCCTGCAGATTTCTGAGGCCACCGCTCAAGCCCGACTGGATCCGAATACGCTCGAAGTCGTCTGGCAAGGCAAGCAGTTGCTGACGTATGGGCTGTAGGATACCACAATCTCAGGGGCTCCTGGATTTGTCAGACTTTCAGGCACTGCTTGGCATGCTGATTGTTCCCCAATTACAATAGTGCAGAAGGAACATGGGGACTGGACCGTTTGCAGGTTTACTACTACAACATGGTTACCGGCAGCTCGACGAATGATGAGCCGTTACTGTGACATGCCTGACTGGTGTCCTCCACGGGTGAGGGGTTCAGGGCTTCAAGTGGTCTGCGATAGTGTCGGTATCTACCTGAAGACATCCACTCCCCAAGAGTAAGGCCCAATGTGCTGGAAGCACAGTTAGGCAAGCTTGGACGTAAAGGTCAGCTTCTCGTGGGACAACATTCCAAGTTCTATTGGCCAAATTGCTTGTAGAAACCAGCTGGCTGCAGTGTCGGACCGCCCCGCGCTTCGCTTGCACTTTACCAGAGAGTCAGGCTTGCAATGCACCCAAGCTTGGAAACCATACCTGCTTATGGCCATGAAGTGAAAGTAGTTGTTGCTGGTACTAACCAACAGATCATGCATCTGGCTGGCTAGCTTGCGATTTGCACTGGCACTTATCTAGCCAAACGGTGAGCTCCTAAGCTAGCAGCAGGCCCAACCCGAAAAGCGGGTCCGGCTTGACAAGTTGACTGCTGAACTATATGGCTGGCCAGCCAACTAAATCTTGTCTTGCAAGCAAGATAGCCCACTGCCTCATTGACCGTGCACCTAAACACCATGGTACCAACAACTCAAACTTGAACAGTGGCAGCAGCGAAGATGAGGACCCTGACAAGTTCGGTTTATGGCGGCAAGTATGCTATGTTCAGCAATATCACGAAGTGACATTCAATTTCATGTCCTCTACTACCCTGAAACTCTCCGCACATCCGAGTGATTGACAACAACGGACAGGTGCTTCCTTCAGCCTAGAGGATGCAAAAGATTGATTCCGGCGCGTGCAAAAGAGCTCTCGAGGGAAGGGCATCCTGCACTTTGGGGATGGGGTTTGGCATTGAGGATCTGAGTTGCTGAAGTATTTGGAATTTGGGCTTCAGCGCGTCATGGCCGGACGTTGTGCTGAAGCTGTCGTAGGTAGGTTGTGAAGTTGTCTCCCACGAGAATGGAAACAGATTGTCGTCCACATTCTGGTGTCTTGTATGTATGGACCTTAATACCACCCTCACTAGCGCATGCCAAACCTGGTCCAAACCTCCGAACTGGAGCTTGGGGTTCCGTGGTTGACGGCCGCGCAGTTTGAGTTTACTTGCAGGATAAGCTCCGATCGCTGCTAAGGAGCGAACTGACAGGCCCTGAATGGCTTGTACCGATGAGTCCGGAGTTTGCATCCTAGTGGGGGCTGTTAGCCCCAGTACATACTGACATACCCTTCATTGTAGCTTGTCAGACGGCCTTGGATAGCCTGAGCGGCGTCGCCTATCTGATTCTCCAACTCTTCATCCAGATTTCCAACGACGGCTTTAACTAAAAGCGCGGCCCTGGCTCCTCAATAGCAAAGCACCGAGCTGTGCCTCCATGAAATCTTTTATACGGCAGACCCTGGCCAGATATCCGTTTCCTCGGCCAACGTGCCGGACGACGACGAAGAGGCACCTTCTGCTGAAGATCGCACCCAAATTCAAACTGGCAAGGGGGTTCGTGATGAAGTAGCACAATCCAACAGTGCCGGGTAGTCTCACCATCCAGACAAGAAGCCCACCTAGTCTCTTGACTCGGGAACTCGATGCTGCCTGCAAAGCAAGACAGACGCTCAGAACACAATGTGAATCTAGAAAATAGAAGAGGTTGCAAACCAACCACTCTAGCAAAATCCGTCTCCGCTGGAAAGTTGCTTCCTAGGTCCGTGCAGAGTGAAGTACTTTGGATTCATGTGCTGCAGCAACACCAGCAAATCAAAAGCTATTGATGGTCGCGCACCCTAAGCCCTGGACTCGACACCTTGGACCGCCTTTCATCCTGTTGTCTAAGCTCTGGTCATTGATCCCTGTAGGATTAACCTACTTATAAGCTCAAAGTTAGCCAGGAGCCTGCTACCATAGAGCCCAGTGCAGCTGAGAAGCGCGCTGAGGAGGACTCAATGTTTCAAAGGGCTCCAGAAAGTTTTGATTGTGCTCACTGCGTGCATTGCTAGTCCTAGGCCTCCATCTCTTCAGCAGCATGTACAGCTTGGGAAGAAGATCCTTTGGGTGAGTCCCGAAGATGATTCTCTGGTCTAAGGGGAGGTTAGCGCTAGCTTCGAGGGAGTTGTAGGATTGCAGGCTTCCCGGAATCATGCAACAATTGGTACGGACTTTGCGGCTGGAAGGCTGGGAAGGCTTTCCACAACCTTCCTTACCCATGGCGTGAAACCTTTGCGAGGATGGTGACAACGCCGATGCCTATGCTGAGGCAATCCAGGAATCAGCGGACGCCGTGCAAGGCAGAAACTGTGCGATCACTACGAAATGGTATTCCCACCCACGTAGCTACCCACCGTTGACTCTTGGCTGAAGCCTTGGATGGCATTCTTGCTGGCACTAGCTGCGTATGTGGCGCACTGAGTCCCAAGCAGCCAAGCCCTAAGTTTCTAATTAACTTTATAGAGGGCTGATTCCTGCAGTCTGGATGCGCCGACTAGAATGTTTGGGCAGAAGTGTGCTCATTTTGCTCCGAACATCATGGGCTGATCGTTCCCCGAACCCTTCTACAGAACATCCAAGCCCGCTACCTCTTGCTGTTTTCCTTTCGTCCAGGCATCCAAGTGACCGAGCACGACAAGAAGGATGGGCCAGCTTGCTCGTGAACAATTGCGTAGAGGTGGTGGTGACGATGATGATCGAAGGTGTATACGAAGTTGCAAAGTTTTCGACATTTCATCACATAGAAGCAGTCCTCCAGACGCAACAGAGATGTAATGGTGATTGCATAGTCATGCAAAGTACACTGCCTGTCAGGATAAAGAAGCTTTGGCAAAGCTCAAAGCGTCCGGACCTTAATTCGAGCGCATGGAAGGGCAAGAAACCAGCTTACAGCAATCGCTGCCTGACGCTTCACTGCAGTAGGTGTTGGTTTCCCGTCCTGTGAGTGGCGGAAGGATTCTTCAAGCAGTCATGTCCATAGAACATGTGCAATGGCTGCTAGGACGGTGCTCGATGATTCTTTCTGTGTCTAAACTCTGCCTGTTTCAGCCAGCTTTGCTCGAGGTATCAAGATATGGTCCGACAAGACCCAGAGGCTGCATTGGACAAGTTTGGCCGAGAGCCAAGCTTGCAGTTCTCAGTCATAAGATCATGCAGCCACGCGGGAGTCCATAGCAACTGAAAACTGTCTCTGTCGTTTTGCAGCTTTGTTCGGAATCTTGAGATTTGGATGGTTTTGGCGTATGCCTGAAAACTACTGGACACTCAAAGTTTTTGTTGGCTTGGCTGCTAATTTCCCACGACTCAGATTCAGAAGAACATTTCTGAACCCCAGGGCTTGCACCCCAGACGCAGAGGTGGTTGCCATCACTTGTTTGATGTTTGGCAGGCATGAACTTTTCTGTCAAACCTCCCATCATTGGGCATCTAGTATGGAGAGCATTGAGCCCTTGATGTCAGGAAGCAGCAGTCTGGGATCCTAGTACTGACACAGTCGGGCGATGGTACCGCAGCTCAGGAGGTGAACCCCTTCTCGGCGCTATTCTGCATTTATAGTATCCCAAACCCTATGAGTCTAAAGGCCCTCCTGGGCTTCTGGTAGACCCTGCAACCTTCAACTTCAAACCCCACTACAAGGCTCGCGCAGTCAGACAAGTCCCGCGCATTTGTTTGAGCTAGCATTGAAGCATATGTCATGCGACAAAAGTTCTACAACATTTCAGAAGAAGGATCTCCCCAAGAAGATCGATTTTCTAAGATGGCTAGTTGAATTGAAGGTGCCAGTTTCGCTTCCGAGTGGGTGGAGGAACATTCTGCCAAGGACCTGCAGCACAGTGATTCCGCACTTCAAAAGAAGCGCAAGAGTGTGCCTCATCAGGCTGCTTAATTGATTGATCTCCACACGGCCAGCATTGCTGGTTGGCGCCTCATGTCGATTCCTCCCTTTCTTCTCTGACGAAGCTGGTCCCTTGTGGACATGTCAGGAAGGTAAATGGACATGTTTGAAAACATACGGCTGTGTATTCAGGACCCTTTTTTTGCGCGCTTTCAGCGCTTCCATGCGGAGAACAAGAGTCATGCCAGACACTCAAACAGATGTTCGTTTACAAGTCCTACTGCGGAGGTGAAAATTGGTCCATTTTCATAGAGACGAGGTTCATCGAGATTTCATCGGATTGCGTGTGAGAAGCGCACAGGGAGAAGGTTCCACACCCCTTCTTCATGTTCCTGTACCAGACTATACACTTGGCTGCAGGCACTTGTCTCCATAGTTCCTGTTGTCAAGAAGACATGGATGATGAGCCGCAGGAGTTAGAAGCTCGTAACAGTGAGAATGTAATGTTGGCTTTGAGAGGAATGAACTAGCATGATGCGAGAACACACAGAGAATACTTCTGGCAGCTGTAATGGAAGAGCGTCTAATGATGAGATTGATTCCTGCAGCACAGGGTTGGCAGTTCTTGTGGGACATGCAGGATCCCAATAAGTGGCTGTTCCTCCTCCTTCATCCCTACATACTTCAAGCGGCAACCAAACGTTTCTGATCAGAGAGGTCCTGCGATATCACCTTCAGGGCGCTCCTAGGTGGCCCAAACCTCAGGTTTGAGAAGGCAAGTGGCGGAATTTGAAGGCATGCGGGACAAGCCTCCAACAAGAATTTTAACAAGATGAAGGGGGTTGGGGATGGCCTTGGACTTTGCACATGGGGCCCGTGAGGGGTCTACAGTTTCAATTCCTGAGAGCTTGCAGGCTGAGCGGATTGATCCGGCTTTGCAAGGTCTAGCTTTGAGGGTTGTTGGGGTTCGAAGCTGTGGTGAGAGTCTAGGTGCCATGGGTGTTTCGAGTGCATTTGTGTGTAAGCTACAATGACGCTCAGGGAAACCTACCTGAAGGCCTGAATCGAGAATGTCATTCGCCAACCTTCACATTGCTTTGATTCTCGTATCTAAGTGTCTTGTTTTCCTGAGACCTGGAACTGTTGCTATTCAACCGCCTAAGGATTTCGTGGCTGTTGTGCTCTGTGGGCATTTCTCATTGTAGAGCTGTGAAGCT